CAGACACACATACACAGACAACCTCTCGTCAATATGCGTTTTTCGCATTGCATGGCTGCAAAAAATGCATAAAAAGGCCCTAAGCAAAACTCATGCGAAATTGTAGAGTTTACTGATGACCCCGCCCCCCTCCTCCCCCCCCCAACATTTGGGTACGGCGTGCACCAACCCGAAACACCACGGGCCGTCGAAAACGACCCCGAGAAGGCTGCGCATAATCGCCGGGTAAAACCCATGTGGCCTTTTTTGAGCGAAAAAGAATTTTCGAACCTTTCATTGAGCGATATCTTTGAGGTGCCCAGCATCACGATCCTGGATGGCACCGATGCCGAATCCATCAATGATGACGATGACGATGCTGACGACGATGACGATGATGACGATGACGATGGTGGTGGTGGTGCAGTCACGAGCAGCAACAGCGCATGCGCCACGCACCCGATGATCAGTGGCCCTGCAAACAAACACTTTTTGCCCAGCGCAAAAATTGAACCCGTTCCTCGCGCAGTATAAAAGGGGCCTCGACAAAGGCGCCTACTGCTCTTCCTATTTTGCCCCTGACTGGTATTGGCCGGTGTTTGCAGTCCTCCTCCAGGCGAGGAGATGTTTTGGAGATTTTTGTTGATATGATCCTCATATATAGGGCCTTTACTATGGCCCGTACTGCCTTTCCTACCTATGTCAGCCTGATGTACGCCACCGCTGGCAATGCTTTCCCGGTTGCTGCCCCGCCGCCGCTGTCTCCCTCCTCCGCCAGTACTAAAGCAATGTCGGACGTACCGACCCCTCTCGTCGCCTTATCTCTTTCCGGGAAACGGGGCAAACCACAACAACCTGGCAAATTTGAATTCACGTCACTCGCTAATGGCTGTGGATTAGGCGGGGGGAGGAGCGCGAAGGTGGTCCCGCCCACGTCATTGGTGTCCTGGCCTGGACGGGAGGGGGAGGGGAGGGAAACAGCGAAATGCAGTGGTGACGCCGAGTAATGGCCAGCACCACACCTCTCCCC